CGAGGAGCTGGCCGCCGGCCCCAAGGAGAGCCCGCCCGCGGCGCCGGCAGGGCCCCCCGAGGTGTGGAAGAAGGGGGGCCGCCTGCTGTCGGTGCTGCTGGCCATGAACGTGCTGCTGCTGGCCTGCACGCTCGTGAGCGGCGGCGCCTTCAACAAGGTGGAGGTGTACGACACCGACGTGTTCGCCCTGCTCACCGCCATGATGCTGCTATCCGCGCTCTGGATTCTCTTTTACCTGCTGCGCACCGCGCGCTGCGCCCGCGCCGTTCCCTTCCGGGACCCGCACGCCGGCCCCATCTGGCTCCGAGGTGCGGGGGGAGGGGGGTCAGTGGGACATCCGTCCGCACACTCAATCCTAGGCTCCCCCCTCCACCCACCCATCCATCTTTCAAGCCATCCATTCACCCCTACATCCGTCCACCTCTCCATCCATCCACCTGTCCAGCCCACGCGCCCCACCCTCCATCCATCTGCCCAACCACCCAACCAACCCTTCATCCAGCGGCCTAGCCTCAGGTCCATAAGCTTCTCCCGCCTCTCTGACCCTCCCCTCCCATTCCCAGGCGGGCTGGTGCTGTTTGGGGTCTGCTCTCTGGTCATGGATATCTTCAAGACGGGCTACTACTCCAGTTTCTTTGAATGCCAGTCGGCCATCAAGATTCTGTATCCTCTCACCCAGGCTGTGTTTGTCATGGTCCAGGTGGGTGGGTGGGAGGAGTGTCCTTGAATGTGGTGCAAGGGAACCAACACCCGGAATGGGGGCAGCAGACCTGGGCTCCACTCTTATTGCACCCTGAACAATCAGATGACGTGGGGATAGGACTGTAGAGGAGATCATGAGTCCACGCAAATGGAAGCACTTGGTAATGAAGTAATATCCAAGTGTGATTGCCTGCTTAGGGGACCTGTGATTTCATTTCAACCTGAGCAGCGCCACTAGTTAACTCCTAAGAGGTGTGACTTGTGGCAGCCACCCTGTCTCCTAGGATCTGGCCTGCCCTCCCTGGGTGCCCGTAGAGGGCTTCAGTCTTGGTCCAGGGTCCTGCTGTGGGCATGGCCAGTTTGGCCTCAGCCATGGCCCTTATACTGTGTGTTTGTTCAGGAAATAGGGTGTGTTGTACCGGGGGTTTTTCAAATAAGTTCAAATACATATATTTTATTTACTGCATATACAACACGTTGAAAGACCTTCCTACTGAGCTAAGGCAGGACTAGTTTTACATGGGACCAGGACAGACCCCAGTCTTGTATGCCACCCGTATGCCCCACCCCCCGCTGAAACATTCCTGTGGCCAGTTTTCTGCAATTCAACACACTCGTGACTTTGGGATCTGTATAGTTTTGGTCTCTTACATTTTATGAGTTTGAAGAATCCTCGGGTAAAAGGAAAACACAGACACTCCCGCACAGCAAGGGTTTGTTGGCAGCCGGCTGAGCGAGGCCTTGCAGGGCAGCAAAGGGTGACTGTGGGACAGGGATGCTGCCGGGACGAGTGAGAAGTCACCAGGGATTTTTTCTACCTTGGACAAGACCTAGCCCGAGGCTGGCCTTGCCCCCAGGAATAAATAGCCAGACACTCGACTCTCCCAGACCTCCACCCTGCAAAAAACAAACACCAGGAGCAGAAAGTTTTACAGGTGACACTTTACAGATTGTCAAAGAACAGAACACTGTTCCACATGAACTGTCCCTGGCCTCATCTCGTAGAGCTAAAATAAACTTAGTAACTTCCTACGAGGGTTTCGAGGGAGAGAGAACTTAACGCTGGGCGCGGACATGGGCACTGGAGCTCCGCTGTATTTGCTGTGCGGAGTACATGACCTCGCCACTCTCTCTACAGACTTACTTTCTCTGGGTGTCTGCTAAAGACTGTGTTCACATCCACCTGGATCTGACCCGGTGAGTGCCTGGGGCGTGGGTCCTCTTTCTGCCCCTTAGGTGGGGCTCCAGCCAAAGCCCCCTTGCTCTGCCAGCCTGATTTCCATCAGCCTGTGCAGCGACGTGTGCGTGTGTGTGTGCCCACACTTGCTCATGCGCACACGTGCGTGGATGTGCACCTGCATGCGCCTCCATGGGATGGGCTGGGTATCGCACTATATGTCCTTTATCCCCGGAGAGGGAGCAGCGGTGCCGGAGCCCCTGGATATCCCCAGGCATCCCCGCATCCCCACCAGATTGTTCCTTTCAAACTCAGCTTCCTGTTCGCACAGCGGCCTGGCTGCTTTTGTTTCTCTCCCACTGTAGCTCCCCAACCCTCTCTCTGCCTTGCCAGGGACCCAAGATGAGCCAAAGAGTCTCACTGGCCTTATTGCTGTCCCTCTCCAAACAGGTGTGGCCTCATGTTCACACTCAGCACCAACCTGGCCATCTGGATGGCAGCCGTGGTGGATGAATCCGTGCACCAGGCCCGCTCCCACAGGAACACCAGCTACTCCCGCATTGCTTCTGACCGTGAGTGCCCACTCCAGGTGACCCCCGCCCAGTGACTCCCGGGCCTTGGGCTGGGGGCTTTGTTCACTTGTAGAATCCATCTCCGTGCCCTCCCAGGAGACCCTCCTCCTGCTCCAGGCTCTGACGTCTGGGTGTAGATGACACATGACAGGGAGTATCGGGGCACCTTCACATCCTGGAGAACCCAGCCTTGGCCCCGCTGTCCAAGTCTCCATTCCACTAAAGAAGGGGCTTGGGCTCCAAGAAGAAAGGGCAAGGGTGATCGAAGCAGAGGGAGGGGAGGGAGGCAGAGTGGCTGGATGGTGGGAGCATGGGGTCAGATGGAGGGCCTGGTGAGCAGAAGCTAGGACAGTAATCACAATGATAATAGTGACCATCTTCTGAGCCCTACATGGCAAGCACAGTGCTAAGTGTCTTAAACACTCTATGTTACTTAACCGTCACAACTTCCCTGTGAGGTGGGTAATATTAATATTCCCATTCTACAGATGAAGAAACTAAGGCATAGCAAGGTTATGCAGCTTGCCCAAGGTCACAGAGCTTGAAATTGGACTAGTGTCCAGATCCATCTTTGCTTTTAGCCAAAATGCTATACCGAAGAAGAAGGGGGTCCACAGTCCCCCTGGTCCTACTTCTCTGGACTTTTCTAGGGCCCCCCACTAGCCAGGGCCAGACTACATGACTAAATCCATCTGGACTTGGCCTGAAGACAGACACACACACCCAATATGGGAGAGTCCAGGAAGGGAAAGCACGGGCCCAGCCCCCGGCAGACCCCAACCCAGCAGGACTGACAAAGCGCCACCCTTTACACACAGAGGGCTCCTGAGCATGGCTAGAGCCAGCCTGGGAGGTGGCCAACTGCCTGCGCTAGGGCCGCGGGGCAGAGGCACGCTGGAGAGGCGCCCGCCCCAGGCTTCAGAGGCAGGTCATTTGCGTTAGTTTTGCCATCACAAGTCACTTTACCTCCGTGAGCCTCAGTTTCTCCATCTACAAAACCAGCTGGGATAGTTCTGGGGATCAAAAGAGATGTTTGCCAAGGCCCAAGGCGTCCTACAAAGCACGGTCTGGGTGCAAGAGCGGGTTTCTTTTCGTGTGAGACAACCGAGGTGACGGGGGGTCACCGTCCAGACCCAGGCCCAGCAGCTCACTTTCTGGGCTGGGTCAGACGCTGGGGAGAGCTTAGAGGGAGCTGGAACTTCTGTCAGGACCAGAACCTCGCCGATTTCGGGGAGCCGGGTCATTACTAGTGGGGACACATTGGCAGTGTTTTCCTGAAGGAATGGAATGGAGTGAAATGGGCAGCTTTTCAGCTCGGATTTTTTTTTTATCGAGCCCTGGCTATTGTTTACAGATGTGTCCTGCAATCTCTGGCACACAGTGCATGTTCAATAAAAACCTGTGGCACGAATGAACATGCCAAGCCCGGCGTGGGCTTTTGGGATACAGTGGTGAATGGGGCAGACAGAGATCCTGCCCTTACGAAGGTCCCAGTCTAGGGCTGAGGCTCTGCAGATGGGGCACCTCCCAGGGGAGGGGGACAGTACAGCTCTGTGCCCCTCTCTCCACAGCAGAGCGCGTGGACGGCCCGGTGGCGGGGGGAGACTGCCCCTGCAGCACGGCCATCTGCAAGGCCTTCCAGCAGGGCTACTTCTACTTGTACCCTTTCAACATCGAGTACAGCCTCTTCGCTTGCACCATGCTGTACGTCATGTGGAAGAACGTGGGCAGGCTGCTGGCCTCCTCCGGAGACTTGGGCCACGGCCACGCCCCTTCCCCGGTCCGCCTCTTCCGGGAGACATTCTTTGTTGGCCCAGTCCTGGGCCTGATGTTCTTCGTGGTGGGGCTGGCCATCTTCATCATCTATGAAGTGCAAGTGAGCGGGGCCAGGGGCCACGCCCAGCAGGCCCTGGTCACCTACTACAGCTTCAAAATCATCTGCCTGGGGCTCATGACCTTGGTCAGCCTGAGCGGCTCGGTCATCTACCGTTTTGACCGCCGGGCCATGGACCAGCATAAGAACCCCGCGCGCACCCTGGACGTGGCCCTGTTGATGGGTGCTGCCCTGGGCCAGTACGCCATCTCTTATTACTCGATCGTGGCCGTGGTGGTGAGCACACCCAGGGACATAGTGGGGGGGCTCAACCTGACCCATGCTGTGCTCATGATTGCCCAGCATACCTTCCAGAACGTGTTCATCATTGAGAGCCTCCACCGGGGCCCGCCCGAGGCTCAGCCGCTCAATGCCCTTCCTAAGGAGCCCTGCCTTACCTTTGCTAATCCAGGCGCCCTCCACTCCTTGCCCACCTGTCCGCCCACCCCCAGGTTGGTTGGCCCCAGCCTGGTGGGCCCACAGGAAGCCGTGGCCATCATCTTGGCCCCCAGGGCCCACTGGAGGCGCCGGTGCCTGAAGGACATTTCTCTGTTTCTCCTGCTCTGCAACATTATGGTGAGTACCTGGGGGAGAT